AAAAGAATCCTAACTCAAATCAATTGTAACCAATCCATTAGATGGAGTGTGATACAGCCCAACATCATCACTACTCATAATCTTACCAGAAATTAGTGGTAGTCAGTCAGCTCATTTAATTCAAACCTTGCTCTATCAAGATGTCTTCCCATGCCAAAACTGGTAGCAGTACATTTTGGTTATAGAAGCAGTTTCCCTGATGAAAAAAGATGCAAGTTTGATTCCTGTCAGGAGGCACAAATTTTCTTTAGGACTTCTGTATCTAAGCCAGTTTTTATTAATTTCACTGTTTAAGAAAATAAAAATAGGGAATAAAATTCAAACACAATGTAGCTACCAAAAATAATGTTTATAGCATTAAGAAATATATGAATCATTCTATATCAACTCCACCAGTGATTTGATTGTTTCCATGGTCACCATCTCAGGTTTTGATTAACTTTTACTATGGGATATCTGCCCTAAAGAAACAGTAAACCTGAAAATAGAAACTTCATTTGAGTAATAGTTTAAGTGCTATGACCTGTTAAAATCTGCTTGAATTTTTACGTCCAGTGTCAGTAGCCAATTCAGCACTTTCTAATGTTGCATCCTGAGAAGTTATCTGGTTGAAATTTGGTGTTTCTATAGATCAGTCTTTCTCGACCGGTTTTATTTTAGGGTGCATTTGTAGAATAACTAAAACTCAGGAGTGCACTTTAAATTTTGATAAGGAATAATTAGTCATGAAGGTCCTTTTAAGGCTTTACCAGTCATCCACTATAGTAGGGCTAAGTAGGCTTAATGCTTGACATTTTTGATTTAGCATTCCCAAAGGAGATTAGTGGTACAGTATTCATTTAAACGGATTTATGAAAAATCAGCTTTTTTTTTTTTTTTTTTATTTTTGTTAGGGAGGCTGATAATGACTGATTTAAATCCCTCGAGGAAGGCAAAAAGGAAAGTATTATCCACTCCTGTAAATATTAAGGAATTTAGCATCCAGTTTAAAATATCAAATGACAAAAAACTTGACTTAGGCATGGAAGTCATGTGCTTGGTGTCTGTAGCTTTTTAAAAATAAAGATTTTTTTGAATATAAAAATAATTCATAAATTACTCTTCTCTTAACTTGAGGCACACCTGTCTACCTTTCAAAAGCATTAGTGCGTACCAGTTGAGAAACACTGCTATAGACTGACATGTAGAATATAAATTTCTGTTTTCATTTTACCTCTGTTTTGTGTATTTTTATAGTTATTGGTTTTTGAAAATGGTGGGGAAATGCCTATTTTTTTGGGGGAGTATTTTGCCGCCCTCGGAAATTAAACTAAATACAGAAAAAGGAAAAACTCAACCTGGCTTGTGTGAAACATTAAATATTTCCTAATTGATCAAAATCTAGCACCATTATGGTAAAATCTGGATCAGTAACAAACTATTTTTAACAACAATGTCATTTGTGGCTAGCCTGTCTTCAATGTTTAATTTGTGTAATAGTGAGTTAACTGAGAAGTGTTCCATTTAACAATGGCAGGAGATTCATATGAGCAGGCAGATGTGATTTTTACATACGGCTGCACAAATGGTAATGGATGTGAGGCTGCATGACTGTATCAGACAGCATTTTCAGACTGAAGGCAGCTGAGTCATCCAACCTTTGCTGCTGTTTATTGTTGCATTGCTGAGACAGGATCTGTGGCACCACAAACTATTGATTGACAAAGATCAATATCTGTTTGTATGCCTGACCATGAAGAACATATTCTACAGGCTGTCGATGATAATCCAGGTATCAGTGGCCCTAGCATCTTGTACATCTCATTGTACTTCAAGAACAGCTCTTGCATCCGTATCATTTGCAATGTGTGCAGGGTCTTTAGCCTTCTGATCACTCACCACAAGAGAACTTTTGCAAATGGTTTATTGCATAGACTGTTGATCTGTTGTTTGTCTCTTCTGTATTGTTTAATGGATGAGGTAATATTGGAAGAGATGGAATAAAAATTTACACACCCAACTTTCATGGACAGATCAGAATTCCCAAGGTACAATACAGGCTAGACATCAGCATCAGTTTACGATTAATGTGTGGGCTGGAATAGTAGGTGACAGTCTGCTAGGTCCATATTTTCTCCCAGCACATCTTACAAGAGCTGTTTACAGGGACTTTATTTTTAACACACTTCCAGACCTGATAGAGGATGTACTCCTGCTAATACAAAGATGTATGTGGTCCATGCATGAAGAGGCTCCAGAAGTCACATTGTTCAGGTTGTACTGGCTAACATCTACCATGAAAGATGAATAGGTAATGGAAGACCGGTTACATGGCCTGCACATTCACAACCTCAATCCTTTGGATTTTTATCAGTAAAACTAAAACTATTGGTTTATGCAGCAGACATTAATAATGCAAAGACACTTCAATGTTTCATGAGGACCTGTGAAACCATTTGACACCATATTGAAATATTTGAAGGGGTCTGCCAGTCAATGATCCGACAAGTGTAGAAGTAAGTGAAGGGTATTTTGAACATTTGCTACGAGTTGCCGTGTTGAGGTACAATGATGGCTTTTTCAACATATGTTTATATGGATATTTTATCTTGTTTTGGTGTCAGGAATCCATCCCCAAAGTTTGTAAATGTATTTTTAATACACTCTGTATATACTGGGTGTAACAGCAAAATTGTTCAATTTTTTTGATTAAGCTTTGAACTGTTGTATCTTAGAAATAATTAAAGATATCTTACTTGAATTCTCCAAGGTTTTTATAACAATATTGGACTCTACATTGAGCAATAAGAATGTATAATTAATGCTCAAGCTTAACAGAAGAATCATGATGAAATTGATCATAAACGAAAATGACAAGTTCATGATTAATCGCAGCTAAGGATTGGAAACTCATAAGGGATTGAAATAAAATTTATATAATATATGTATATTATTTCAGGATCATTTTCCAACTTATTCAAGATGATCTTCACCCTCTCTAAACTTCTAACTTTCTGTCCTGTAGTAACAAGGTGTCTCACAGGTTTCATGTATGATTTCATTTTCAGATTCTTTTTTCATTTCTCTTTGGACTGCCATAGCTGAAACTCCTCTCTCACATGCCAATTGTCTTATGGATTGAGTTGGAGCTTTTTTAATTGATCTCTTTAGCTCTGTTTTCCTCCAGTTTTTCTCTCTACTGTCTCTTTAAAACTTATTCACTGTTCTCTTGATCGTTGTTGAATGGATTTGAAGATGGAAGCCAGTGTATGAATGTTGGTGCCATTACTGAAGGCTTAAATGATGTTTTTCTTCTCACCATTGCTCAGTTGGGAAGACAGTGGGTCTGGCACAAAACGATTTTAACCTGTTCTCTTTCTAGTTGAATAGCTAAAAGGGTATTTAAGGGATTCTTATGAAAAATGCTGTTAACATGGCTAAATATCTTATCCGAAAACCTGGAAGAAAGAAACTCAATTAGTTTAGTGGGTTTTTTAGATAGTAAACATTTTGTGGGATGGACAAGTATGCTGTTATACATGGTATAGTATAATACACATTTATATGGTCGTGTGTGTGTGTGTGTGTGTATATATATATATATATATATATATACACACACACACATGTTTGGCCATATAAATGTTTGATCATATATATATATATATATAAATATTTGGGGAGTAATCTTTCTTTTAAACAAGGAAAATTTGAAATTTTAATTTAGCTTTTCCAACATTCTTAGATGTTCCTATATATATATATATATATATATATATATATATATATATATATATATATATATATAAATATAAAGGGAGTATAAAAATTGTCTGAATTGTCCATTATCCCAAATGCTTATTAAATAAAATGTTTAACCACAGTACCTTGTCAGTTGTCCTTAACAAAACTTATATATATAATTAATGTGGAGAAACTTAACTGAGTGGTATTATTTCAATCATGCTGACTTCAAAGTTTCACAAGTGCATTGTAGTAACACGTCTGTTCTGAAGCTTCTGCTATATATTTAGAGATTCTTGATAAAATTCAAAGATGAATCTGTGGTGTTATTGGTCCTGACCTGGCATCTCGGCTTCAGTCACTTTCCCACTGCTGTAACGTAGCTTCTCTCTGCCTTTTCTATAAATACTTTCATGGTAACTGTTCGGATGAACATTCTTGTAGGTACCTAGACTCTATGGACTTAAGTGCAGTACCAAATTGGCAGCAAGGTCTCATCATTTTACAGTTGACATGGTTAGATGTAACCATAAGTTCTATGCTGTTTCTTCTATTGCACTTCTTGCTTGTGAAATGCAATTTCAATTGTTATCTTCTCGCTTCATCTTCATTTATTGTTCTCTCTTCTTAATAGTATCTTTTTTTTTTTTTTTTTAAATTCTCGCCCACTCAGTAACACCTTATGTCTTAGTAGCTTTATTTCCTTGCTTGGGATGAAATGATATATGAGGAAAATGTATGACAAAGTGAAAAAGTTTGACATATTTTGTCTTTTAGGACTTCATCAGATGAAACACATTGCATAAAAACTTTTTCCACTTTGTCATATATTTTCTCAATATTGTTCCTGATATATAGAAATATATATATTATCTCTCTCATATATATATGAAATATTAAAAAGAGAGAAACTGCAAACGTTTTTGGTTGTAATGTGGATTTAAAAAAAAAATATTATGCTTTATTTTCCATAAAGCATAATATAAATCATATTTAAAAAAAAAAAAAAAAATCCACATTACAACCAAAAACGTTTGCGGTTTCTCTCTTCTTTTTAATATACACACTTTTCTCTCATTGGAACTACTATAACCACTTATATATATATATATATATATATATATATATATAGTGAAACACATTTTCATTGTGTAACAGTTAACAAGCTTAGTTTGCAAACCATTAGAAGTGAGTATTTGTTAGTATATTTTGGTTTTGTTTCCTACACTGATGTTTTGTGAGAGGCAATTTTCTAGTGGAAACGGCCTTCTTAGGCTTATGGCCACATCACGTTGAAATACCGGTTCTTATATGATCACCAAAGTTAAGCAATGTCAAGCCTAGTCAGTACCTAGATGGGTGACTACTTTGGAATACCAGGTACTGTAAATTGAAGAGTTGAGTTCCAATTCTTGTTGGGTTTGTTGTATTCCCTTATGTGGAAATACCTTGGGAAAGTTATAAATCTGGCTCTTCTCTCCCAGCTATGGGTTAATTAGTAAGACTTGTATCACTAAATAATTACTGTTTTTGGTTTTTTTAATTTTTATGATCAAAAAATATTTTCTGATTTTAAATGACCTGAAAAAGTTGACAAGACAGAAAACTAATCAATCTTCATTCTTTGTGATGTTTTTGCTTAGTTTCTGAACACGGCCAAAGCACTTTGACCCATTTGTTTTTATAAAGAATGTCTGTCTGTTTTTTTATTATCTTCTATTATCTTCAAATATTTGGGGCTTTTTTCATTTCAAATATATTTTTTTTTTAATGCTAGATGTTCTTAATATGTCAGTTATTGACTAAGATTTTTCTTATGTGTTCAAGTTACTTTAAATTGTACTTTTTTTTTAATTCTGTTTGAAATACTAATAAGTTTTAAGATTTCTTCTTTAGATTTTTCTATATATTTACATTTATTACGGGTCAATCAATTAATATTTTTACAAAGTAATTTCTGCAGCTGGAGGTGCAGAGTTGGCCTAAAGATTAACAGCATGAAAATTGTTCTTATTCTAGCTGAGGTAGTTTGTATTCCTTTTTCACTAATGCACTTCAGGGTTACTTCCAATTGGGAGAGAAAATTAACCCCCACCATATAACCCAGTTCTCTCTAGAAATGTCATTAAGAACCTTGGTATCCTGAAAATTAGTAAGTCAGGGAGTAATTTTTTTTTTTTTTTTTTTTTTTTTTTGTTGTTTGTTTTTTTTAAATTCATACTGGGACAACAGTTTCAGTCTTTTAGCAAATTTTTGTATTTTTTTATTTTATGCTTCATAAAAAAAGTTAAATTCATACTTGTAAAATCCATCCAACTCAATATAGATTTTATTTTTATATTTTATTATCATATTCTTTTAAGCTTAAATTATCCCAATGGTATTACCAGCTTCAACAACAGAGGTGTTGAACTGTAAACTTTTAGCTTTTAACAAAATATTGTAAGCTTTTACTGGGACTGTTTTTATTTATTTTTAATGCATCTATCTACATACCAGATAAGTTTACAAAGTTGAATAATTAAGTCTACAGAAGAAAGACAGAAAAAAAAGTAGAAAGTAGTTGATTCTGCACAAAGCCTTCACCACTATAATCAAAATCATATGTGCTGGTGTTGGCTGTCGGTTCCTATGAATTGAGCTGCTTGATCCTCATACGCCAAATACAATGGGAGAGTACACCGTATATTTAATCATCCAGAGACACTGTTTTTCTGTATCAGCTCATCAGTGTAGCTAGACATTCAATTGCATCAAACCAGGATCAGAACTCGACTGATTTGTCAGAGACTCTACCTCTAAGTTACTGCCACATGGCAGAGAAAGGTAATCTTTTAACGTATTATATACATGATGTATATAAATGCTAGACCACACACACACACACATGTGTGAGTGTCAATGGAGCTCATTTTCATTGTGTAACAGTTAGGAAGCTAAGTTTGCAAACCATTAGTAATATGTTCAGTCATTACTTGTTAGAATTTATGCTAACAGATTCTTTCCTTGCATTTCTCATTTTTGGAACTCTCTTCTGGCTTCTTGCTTTCCAGTCAAGTTTGATATTCAAAAATTTAAATGTAATTTCAGTCATTATCTTCTGTCTTTTCAATTTCTGTTCTTTTATTGTGCTTTCTCCTTAATAATGTTTTTCTTTTCCTTATATTCTTTCACACTCTGTAACCGCACACCCCTGCCCTACCTTTTAGTGGCTTTGCTTGAATCGAAATGATTAAAATATTTAATGAATGTGTATAACACTATTTCACAGAGCACTTAGATATTTTGCACTGAACCTTGGTTGAGGTGCTGGGACATGACACTGATATTAAGCATAAGTTCTGAGCTATACATAACTAATACTGTCATTTTTTTTTCATTTTTTTTTTTTTTTTTTTTTTTTTTTGAATGGTTGTACATTTGAAAACTTGTTCAATTCTACTGACTCAATGACCCCCCTACATCAGGTGTGACCAACCTTCTGATTCCATGCGCCAATATTTTGTACGATTAATTTAAATGCACCACACAAACATTCACTTCTTTCAGTACGTGTTGTAATATGGACATATTTTAAAGTTATAATAAAATCTATTTATTTGAAAAATATATGCTTATGACCAGGGGCGTATCCAGGAGTTTTGAAATAAATATAAGTTGTGCAATAAATATAAAATCATTGAAATGAATGAGTAGAAGTGGCTTAGTTTCTTTTCATCAAAAGGATGCAATGCGCCACTTGTAAGCATCCAATGGACCATTTACGGTGCATGCGCCACAGGTTGGCCATCCTTGCCCTACATTGTCTCAGTCTGGATTGTTTTGCAATCCCTCAGTGTTCCAGTTGCAAACTAGTAACAATATTTATCATATGTATATTGCATTTGGTGAACGCACTAGCTCTTACTGTGTATTAATTTTTGAATGCAAATATAACTGAAGGTCAAATACCAGAAATGGATATTTTATAATCAATTTTTTAAAAATATCTTTTTTTTAATGCAGGATGGACTAAAAGTAGGCACTTTACATTTTTTTAAAATATTTTATTAGATTTATATTTATTTGCTACAATCATATTTATTCAAAACTGTTTATGTACATTTGTTTAACACTTCATTTACATTTTTATTTATTTTTTTATTTTTTATAGCACAGTTTAAACTTAAGCGCTCAAAATGTCCTCCTTTAACATTGCAACATTTATCGAACCTCTCCAGGACACCATGACACACAGCATGATAAAAATCACGATCTGAATCAATTTCAATAAATACTTCCAAGATGTACTCATTTAATTTGTCCACTGTGTGAGGATTTCTCTCATAAACCTTGTTCTCTACAATACCCCAAAAACAGAAATCCATTGGTGTTAGATCAGGTGAATATGGTGGCCATTCAATACTGCCTCTTCTTCCAAACTAATGCTGTGAAAAAATTTGGTTAAAGTAGTCCCTTACTGCCAAAGCATAATGGGGAGTTGCTTCATCTTGATGAAAGAACAGTTATGAGTTAGATAAATTAGATCTAAAACCTGAAAGAAATGTAAGCTTACTTTTGGCTCACTCTGTATATTCACATATTTTTCTTTGTTCATTTTGTTATCTTTGTCTAAAATCTAGTGGGAGTCATGTTATCACTTAAACCTACAAAGTAGCTGTTAGCAGTCTCTCATTTTAATTTTCACATTATATCAACACCTGGTAATTGACTGAATATAACGTTAACCCAAGTCTATTTTAGTATGTGTGCAAGTGAGTCAGTATTTATAAGCCAAGTAATGTCGTCGTATCCGTGTAAAGGAAGTCCTGCATGCACTTAATTATAGATGTGCGATTTCACATAGAATCAGAATTACAAAACTTAAACAATGTCTTGGTCACTGTCCCAGTGTGTTCTCTCTTAATAGTCAGCGACTGTTCATTTGTTTTTGATTAAACTGGGATTAATCATTGTTTTGTTTTTTTTTTTTTTTTTTTTTTATTTATTACTACACTCTTGGGATGGATCTCAGTGTAACCTCATTGGATTTACAACAGGAAAGCACTGAGAATGATCACAGGCAACCCCCCTTTCCTAGTTTAATTGCAGAAGAATTTGTTGATTCTATTGGAGCCAATATAGAAGCAACTTCTGATATTAATGAATGCATACAAAATGAATATCCTGTGTCCAGTCATGATAGCTTTTCAGTTTTTGAAGGTGAATCTTTTGACTGGAACAAACAGAAGCAACCAGTAAAGGAAGTTTTCCATATTCCAAGGACAAAACCCAGATTCCACTGTGATGCTGTCCTCTGCCCTGATTCAGTGCTTTTGTACTGCCCCCTGGAAGAAAATAACCTTAAACATGATGGCATCAAAGTAGAGTGTCGGGAGGTGCGTTTGATATGAGGCTTATTGAGTTCTCTTTGTTTTACTTTGTTTCGTTTTTTTTATTTATTTTCCTTTTTTTTTCCCCACCTTCATTTGACGTCTTTTTTTCTGTCCCCAAAATTTCTTTTGTTATACATATTTTCTCTTCTTTTTCTTTCTCATTCCTGTTCTTTCTTTCCGTCTCCTTGGTGTACTTTCTTTCTCTTTCTAATGTCCTTTCTTTCTCCCTACCTTTGTTTCTCTCTCTCTGTATGATTCTTTCTCAGTCTCTCTGTGTCCTTTTTTCTCTAGCATTCTTTCTCTCTCTGCTGTCCTCACTCTCTTCTCTAACGTTTTCTCTCTCTTGCTCTCCCTCTCTCGCTCTCTCTTGTCTGTTTCTTTCTAATGTGCTTTCTTTTGCTTTTTCTTACTCCTGCCCTTTCTCTCTCTGATTCTTTCTCTCTATCTTTATCACTCTCTTTCTATGATTCTTTCTCCCACTTTCTGTCCTTCTCACTGTAGTCTTTTCTATTCTCATTCTTGCTCTCTCCATTCTTAATAATTTTCCCATTCATATATGGAAATTTTTCATTATTAGTAGATAAACAAATCAGATTTTTACAGTTCTTAAGAACCATAATTCTATCTTTATTCTGCCTAAAAATGCCACTTTCACATTTTTATATTACATCACTGTTTCAAGCAGTTTCAAACTTTTTTCTCTTATTTCACATAGTAAACACTGAATAGCAGTATCAATGTTTTCCGCTTTCAATCATTCACAAAATGTTTGCTTATCAAAATCATATATTTATTATATGAAACATTACTTGGTGATAGTTATAATGTCTCAAAAGCAGTTTTTTTTATGCAATGTTCTATATATGGTATCATTTGATGAACTTTTGAACATTTTTGAATACTGGTCATCAGGTTCTCCTCTGCTTGGCATTTTAAAGCATCATAATCAACAGGTAATAGTTGTCACCTCTGGACTTTGTCACAGAACAAATCACTATATCTGAAAGGCTTAA